GTGTACGTACACGATAATAACTTTGACCTTCGTGTGCTTTTTTGTGCAAGACGGCAAGCAAGCATCCAGTCGTTCGTGACGGAAACCAAGGGTTTTACTGCTCATGGCGACAGTAACACTGCCACTCCTGAATCCCGACTGGAATCCTGGTTTGCAGACACGTGAACCTTCCACCCGTTTTAAAGGCGATCTTCCCTCTGGTCGGGTATACGTTTCGAGATCGTAAGGAGAACGAGGTGGCAATTCTTAGCTGTAGGGATAACGTCGTCCAGCTTACCGCCTCCATTTCACACTTGCACGTTCTGGCTGGATCTTCTCCTTGCTGATGCCGATCGGCTGGAGATCAGATTTCTTGGTGTTAAACGGAATTTGTAGATGTACAGCACTCATCACACCTGGGTCGCGTAACCGGGCCAAAAGCGCTACACGACCGCTCGTCGCGGCCTATAACCAAGCATTATTCCTTACGGTTAAGTGTCCTGCTCTAAGCCACAAACAGGCTGTGTCTAGTCTTCAAATCACCATGAGTTAAAACTGCACGAGTTCAAGTCATCATATGTAGTCAATAAAATACAATGCAAATGCACGTGTAAAGCACTGAATTTTTAGCAACCTGTTCGTACAGAAGTTTAATTTTATTCGTTTATTTGCAGGTCAACACGCTGTTGGCCATAAAGTGGGTTCAGGGATACGGAACGATATGCGAATGTATCAAGCGGCACCGTCGTAAATTTCAAAGACTTTTGCATAACCACACTATACAGCCAAATTGCTCCTATTCATCGATCTATTCCTTCTTTCTTAGTTGGTTACACCGAAACACAAAGGATTAAATTATTTGTTCAAGAGAAATAGAACTTAAAAATAAGAACTCACGCCGCACTTGAAGATCAACCGTTAGCTCGGCCAAAACATTTTCCACTGCGCCACTGACTCAATCCCACTCAGTCATGCCATTTGCATATCATGCTACCTCACAGTTTACGATATCTGAATATATGAGCGTACGGATACGAATTCATTTCGATGAAAGCGTTTCGTCATTAAGAGCAGTAACATCATCAAGATAAACAAACAAATGAATGTTTCGGCATTAAATCCTCTCTACAGAACACCAGCCTCTGATCAGCATCGCGAAGATCAGGCAATAACCACATTAAGACATAGAATGGTTGAGTGATGACATTTAAACGTATTTCGTTGAACGGTAAAGACCGATCATGAACCCTGAAATGGTCAGCTAATGCTATCCTCAGAACGTTATGCAGCAATCATGGCAAGAGACTCATTTACGCATTTAAGGCCAATCTAAAAGATAAAAAATATTACAAACACAAACCCGAATGAAAACAACTGGGTTTAATATTCACATTAATCGCCAAAAAGGCACACCGACATCATTTCGTCATGTCGTCTACTTTCTAAACCAAGATCATGATTAATGGGATCCGGAAGGCGTTTGGCGCGTGCTGTCAGGAAACGTATAGAAAAACCACCTTCAATGTTACTGGATGATCAAACTGGAGAGGACCGGACGATATCACGTTGTCCATCCATACTTGTAAATCGTCGTCATCTCTTTGACTGGAGGTAGAAATGTAGTCTTGTCAACACTGAATCCAAGATTAAATAGAGAGTGGTCAAAATGACAAACCACATTTTCTTTTCACAGGGATGACGTAATGAAAGCGCACGTTTGTGCAACATGAAAATGCATAATTCTATAGGTTTTGACCATGCAAGTGAAGCGAAGGTTGTTTTATTATTTTTCCTGATGCATGCATAAAGCAATGTTAAATACATCTATCCTTCTTTACGGATCGCCATCTTTCGTTCAGAGGGTGGACGGTATGTTGAAGAGAATTTCTGTACTTCTGCGAGTTTGCAGTAAGGTTGTCTTTCTCTTAAGAACTGTCTTAAGTGTCAACTCCAATTGCTACTGCCTCCGCATTCTACAGTTTCAGGATTCAAGCAAGTCATCGCAATTATCATAGCGGCCAGGAGTACATGCAACGAATTACCTTACATTGTCATGAGAACCCCTCCTTTAGTCGTTGGCTGCTGTAAATTACGGAGAAAGAAACGACAACGCCCAAAATGAAAAGGCAGCTAGACAATACTCCTATAAGAAAGTTCTTCTGATGACAAACTCATAATTTTCAGAACGAAACCATGTATAAAAGGCATATCATTGATCAGAATCATAACATTTTCGGAACTGGTTGAGGTTATAAAAGCGCAACTCAACATCATCCTTGAAAACGACAGTAACTTTGACTGTTGGCCGTGCTTAGCCCTCCCCTAATAGTGGAACAATCGAAGGCATTTCA